TTCTTAATAAATGAGAATATAGTAACATCATTAAACTAAACATTACTTAATATATTACTCTCAGAGTGTGTATTTTTCACAAGCGATCTAGATTGAACAGGGAGGCAAAAATAAGATAAATACTAAAATTAGACCTGAATTAAGGCCTCTTAAATTTACCGACTTTGATGCATCCTTGAATTAGCAGAAAAGATACCCTTATCTGTCTGCTCCTCTGAAGGAATAAATCTCGTATTCCTTCAGTTTTGCCAAGTTTAAGCATACGCGTTTACATCAAATTCGCTTCACTAGCTGGTTGTATGTCAAGTTATAATACACACATCAATTGATTGCTGTAAAATCAATAATGGACACTACTTTCTATGATATGATAATATATTTTCACAATATCGACGTTTATTTTGGATGAGTGAGATTAATTATCAACCGAATAGATCAATTCAGGGTATACAAAACTCTGAAAAACCTACCAAAATCAAATTAATATTGCAAGTAATAATATGTGAGCGGATTTATTGTTTTATCTTGCTATAAATATTAATTATCTTCTCCTAGAGTTATTAATATTTAAAAGTTACTTAAAATTTTATTGTTATTTCATACATGTTTTTATACAGTATTGCGCTCTTCCACCCGAGTTAGGTTAGATCCTTGTAGGAGGCTCGTCCCTCGACTCCCCCTTCTTTCCTTTCTTAATGGTGAAGAGTATTTATTAATTCTGAAGTTTCACCAGATACACTTTTTGCTTCTTTTTAGTCGTCAAGGGAAAGTAAGGCTTCAAAAATGGTATTGTTCTCAATCTGAAAGGCAAAGGAAGAAAACACTGCGTGATGTCATGACGTTGGTTTTGTCGAGGAAACCTCGCATGTGCTCGTTCCTAGAATGGAAGGAGCTAAAATTGGTGTACAGGAGGTATAAATATAAATTTATTATAAAATATTAAAGATACGCTAGTCTGTATTTTGTTTGTGGGATCGATCATGATGATAACGAGCTCATAACCATTGAAATAATTCACAGATTTGTAGAAATTCTTGAAAGATACTTCGGTAACGTATGTAACGTTTTCTTTTATGCCTGTAGGTATGCGAGCTTGACATAATTTTTCACTTCGAGAAGACATATTTCGTTCTAGATGAATATATTCTTTCCGGAGAGTTGCAGGAGACTGGCGCCCCCGCGATACTCAGCGTGGTTGACGCACAAGATCAAATTCAGGAGGTTGCTAATTTTAATCATTATTTTGTAGGAAGAAATACCACAGACATTTTTTGAAGATCAGAGTCTCAATTAGCTTTGCAGACTTCCCCATTCGGCTGTGATTTTGCCTTGACCTTTCTTATATCCTGCCTTTCATTGTCTTCAAACAATATTTTTAAAATATGCCTTTTTACACTAAATTTTCAAGCTTTTTATCTAGCCTGTTGTTATTTCTATGTAGATTTAATCTTTCATATCCTAGCGCTATAACAATCGGAATTTTGCTATATTCCTTGTTTTCCAAACT